TTTTACTTCAAGTGCATATTATCTAATAATATTTTAAGAGTAAAAATACTAATTCCATTGGCAAATCATCTCATTTACCTCCTCAAATTGAGGTTAAATACATGAAATTTAAGAGCATTTTTACCTATTTCTAGATCGTTTTCACAGTGTAAGTTGTCAAGTAAAGGATTGTGGGATTTTAAGCACAGAAATGTCTGATGCTCCCTATGATACATGAACTATGATAGAAAGCAAAGGCTACTTTTTCTTACACCTTACTTCCTATACCAGGACTATTTGGTCAGTATTTAGGGTGATTGATCACCTTCACTTCAAACCAAGAGTCCTTAAAATGTTTTTATATTCAGTGCCATGGATTCTAAGACATCAGGGGTTCTTAAAGCATCCATCAACTTTAGATGGATCCCTGCTCCAAATCTGAAATATTGAAATTCTACAGTCGTACTTAGCTTTACTAGAGGTCTTGTAAAGACTTGTGGGTGTGCATATATAAATATAACCTGGATGTAACTTGCTTTTCCATTCATCCTTCAATTAAGAGCTCTTACAGCCAGCCCAAGAAATTTTAAGACCCTTAATCTGAAGGATCAGATCTTTAGAGTGAATTAAGACCTCATGACATGCAGACACCTTAAACCAGGGCTTCTCATCCTTTAGTGTCAACCCCCATTTTAATGCGCACTGCTGTACACAACCCCCCCCGAATCTGTATAGGTTGTATTTAAATAATCAGACGATCATTTATGAACTAATTTCAGCTATTGCCATCATTTTATTTTGAAAGTTTTTTTTTTTTTTTACTCGAAGCAGCACAAAGAGAACGTTTCCAAAGAGATCCATCAGTTGGTTTTGTTATAATGTAAAGAAATGATACACATTTCTTTAGAAAACAACAGCTAAAGTATAAGTGGATTTTTTCACAAAAAACAAGTTTAATTTGAAAGATCCACGTTTCTGAGAGCTAAAACCTGGGGGGGGATGATGTTTTTCTGCAGCCATTTAATGCGACAGCTGGGCCTGCTTCTTTTAATAGCAGCTGTATTCTTCTTGGATTTACGTTAGACTCGGCCATACAGAGATCACTCAACTCTTGAGTCGTGATCAGACGACTCTAATGTGGGATATGAGAGAGAGAACAAGGCATCCTGCAGCTCTGATGATGGGTGATGCTTGGAGAAGATGGAGAATGGCTGACATCCAGTGCAACTTTTTCCAGGGTGTCATCGCTCAGGAAATACTCATTTAAACTTTCAAGGAGAAGTAATAATTATAACACTTTATAACTTTATTGATCTCACATTGGAGAGATTTATCTCTGCATTTAACCCATCGCAGTGGACTGCCACTGTGCGGCGCCCAGGGAGCAGTGTGGGGTTAAGAGTTTTGCTCAGGAACCAAGAGTGCAGGCTGTGCAACCTCCTCAGAGGACAAGCGCACTGCTCTAACGCCCTAGTGTTACCTGTCACCTTATCAGAGAGATAAAACATGAGTTTTATTTCTGGAACTCAATAGAAACCAATTAACTTTTACTCTTCGGTCATTTCTTTGTTTCCGACTCCGTTTGGTCAAACACCCCCCCCCCTCCCCCCATTCCCATTGACGCAACATACAAAAATCATCATGTTTGTAAAAACCGTTTATTTTCAAAACCACAAGGTACTAAGCAATACAAAACATTAAAAAAGTACAAAAAGGTTTGGTCAAAAATATCTGAGATGATGTTTATGGTTTACTAACGGCACTGTGGTTATGAGTCTGAATACAAAACTTGGTGCAATCAAAGAAGAAATTCACATTGTAGAAATTTGTTCGCAACCATCATTTCAGGTCCGGAGCATCAAGCTCCAGAAATCAGCACTTAGAGCAACGGGGAATGTGGCACACAGCTTCTCCAGTTAAAACTGAGGAGGAAAGGGGGCTGCAGAAGTAAACATCTCCTGGTCACAAACGTACCGAGTAAAAGAAGAAACAGACTGAAGCAACAGGAAAAAATTAAAATAAAAAACAAACTGCTGCACTTTATCTTTCAAAAACATACCGAACGGCTTTCTAGAACACACAGGTTCACTCAGAATCCGGCCACAGAGAGCAGAGACAGTAGTGAACGCCATTCTTGTACGACACAGAATCCTAATAACAACAATACTCAGAATACAAAAATAAAGAACCGTATTAAACATATAAAATAATACATGGCAATAATCAAGAGTAACATGGTTCTTCTTTTTCAAGCATTACCCAGGTTTGTTTATTCCTTTGGACAAAGGCACCTCAAGTGTTCCGGTTCCCGACATCAGGCCTGTACTGCGAAGGTTCGACCCATTTACCCTGACTGAGATCAGAGCAGCGCAATGGAAACGGCTCCGAGATAAGAAGGAAAGGACATGGAAGAATCAGCCAATGTTCCTTTAAGTGATTATTTTATAGAAATCCCCAAGTCCAAAATAGTGAGGTTAGATCGTTATATAAAGTATAAAAAGGTCTAAACTTTGTAAGTTTAAGAGTCAGGATTTATAATGCTGGGAAGGAAGGAAACGAGGAGCTAAGGAGGGATGTAAACAGAGCCGAGATGAAGGAACACCAACAAGGAGGGAAAGGAAAGAAGAATACAAGGGAGAAAATCACAAGTAAACAAGTCGTAATCGACTAATACTGAAAATATGACACGTTCTGACTGGAGTCCACTTCCTGAGGGAAAGGAAACCCAAAACCTGAAAGAGGAAGGAGGGATCATTTGTTCTGGAATGAGATGCAGAGGAGGAATGTTTCGAAGGAGGAACCACAGCTTCACAGTACAGGCCACAGGTTCCAGGTTTCGGAAATGTTGACCAGTTCAGGACCAACACTGACATTAAGCACAAAAGAAATGGGGAGACACTTGAGAGAAGCCCTTATGTGATGATCAACATCGTGTACAGTCTTCATTAGACGATAACTCCCAGTACCGCTCCTTGATTCCAGACGCCCGGTTCTACCTTTTGTTCGCTTCTACAATCACCCAATCACCTCAAATACAAAAGTTACAAAAACAACTGGCTTGGCCTTTCTTTAACAAAATTCCAGTTCAAGTCTAAGGCAAACTTGAGATTTACACAGACTCAAGAAAAAAAAAAAACAGAAATGACAAGAAGTCTCATAATAAAATATCCATATAGTATCTAAAGTTAGCTGCCCTGAGGGAGATGCACATGTCAACCGTTACCATTTGTGTTGCATGATGGCAGTTAAAAAGCACTTTGGGTCTGCCGAGTGAAGTTCTGCTCATTGAGATGACGCCGCAGCAGGACGTAACACTGGAAGGCTTTAGCTCTTCATCCACCTCAAGCAAGGCAATCATTTCCCTTTTTGTCCTTTTGTGTTTTTAAGCACGCAGACCTGTGGAGACATGGATGGCAGATACGTCTTTGTCTGGATAAAAGCTACAGTGCAATCAGGTGGAGAAATTCGCTTACCTTTGTCGCAGGCGCTGCTCTGCTTCTCCTGGGCGAAGTTGAGTCGGTTCTGCTCCACGGCGGTGCCGTTGGACTCCGGGCTGCTGCTTCGAGGCGGGCTGCTCTCCTCGTTCTGGTACGCCAAATCCAGGTGCTGCTGGGCCAGTTTCAGGTGTCTGCGCATCCTTTCCACCTCGTCGCCGAAGGACTCGCGGCCCATGTCTCCCAGGTTGTCCTGGAAAGCCATTTTTCCAGACGGGTCCTTCTTCAGAGCGGTGTGGTAGCCTGGTGGCGCCGAGGGTTGGCGGCTGATGGAGGATCTCTGGCTGGCCAGGGCGGAGTGGCGAGAGGCACGGGAACGTGGTCGCGGCCGGCAGAGGCAGTCCCGGATCCCGCTGATGCCGAGGTGAATTATCTCCAGCATCGTGAAGAGCAGGCACAAAGCGCTGACGGCGTACATGATGAGCAGGAAGATGGTTTTCTCGGTGGGACGCGACACAAAGCAATCCACCGTGTGAGGGCAGGGGGAGCGAGTGCAAATGTAGGAAGGCGCCACCTCCAGCCCGTAGAGGATGTACTGCCCAAACAGAAAGGAGACCTCGAAGACGGCGCGCGATAGCAGCTGAAAGATGTAGACCTTCATCAGCCCGTCTCTTTTGATGCGCCGCCGCCCGTCGTGCTTGTTTATGGGCTTCTTTGAAGATTCCTTCTCCTTATCAGGTTCAATCTCCTCCAGGATCATAGGATCCTCCTCGCCGTTATCCTCCGCCTCTTCGTAGTCCCTGTTGGCCCCCCGATTGACGATGGGCATCCTCTTCCTGCCCTGGGACCTGTAGTCATCGTCTTCCATGCGGGCGATCTTGTGCATGGCAAAGCCGAGGTACATGATGGTCGGCGTGGTGATCATGATCACCTGGAACACCCAGAAGCGAATGTGCGAAAGAGGCGCGAACGCATCGTAGCAAACGTTCTCACAACCAGGCTGCTGCGTGTTGCAGACAAATTTACTCTGTTCATCGTAGTAGATGGACTCTCCCCCGACCGCCGTCAGAACGATCCGGAAGACGATGAGCAATGTGAGCCAGATCTTTCCCACAAAGGTGGAATGATTGGAGATCTCATCCAGCAGACGAGTCAGGAAACTCCAGCTCATTTTGCTGCCAGACCGAGGAAGTTATCAGTCCTGTGCAGAGAGAAGATGGAAAAATAAAACTGTTAGACTTTTCTGACATAAAAATCATTGACAATATGAGGTAGAGTAGCATCACTTCAATGTGTTTCTATACAAATAAAAAATTGTCAACCAAATGAAAAAAAACAACTAAAGAATAAAATAGTACTGCGTTTGAAGACTACTCAAATACCGAGTAACTAAGAGCCTCTGCTTAGGTTTGAAAATAATGTAATATTAGAAAAAATTATTCTATTCAAATTCAGGTATTTTAACAGGTAAAATAAATGAAATAACCAAATAAAATTCAGGCATAAGACTATATATCAATCATCTTTTATACCTCTCAAAAATCTATAAAAACAATTCAAGATTCAATTTAAATACAATATACTGTCAAAACTATTTGGTCCTCTGATACTTTATATGACATTTATTGGAATCCTATTCTATTCTGCTGCATAGATTAGGATTACTGCTGTGAACTGAGAATACAATAAGATAAGCATCCCAATATATTGCAATTTTGGCCAGCAAAACATTTTTTCCCCATCTAATAAAGTTATTTATTTAAGGTTGAAGAGATAAATTTACTCAAGCTAAGACATTGATACCGTCTATTAATATTAGTCAAGTAAAAAGTAAAATGTAGTAAAACTACTGTTGAAAGTACAATTTGTTTGAAAACGTATTCAGGTAGACGTAACTGAGTAAAAGTAACAATATTCACCTTTACTAATAGCTATTCTTTCCATCACCTTATAAGAAGTTTGAATATTTCAAGTTCAACTGCAAACCAAACTTGAATGTAGTAAATTTAACAGCCACAAGGTGGAGCCAAAGCATAAAAAACAACATGTCCCACTCTACAGCTATGATCCAGAACATGCTCTGGCAAAGAGTCAGAGGAAAAAAAAAACTAAAATATCCACCTAACCCTCTAACAATAAAAGTAAACAATCCATCAGCTAAAGTCACTAAAAGTCAAAGTATGAACTTCTAAGAAGTTTTCTTTGCTTTTTCCCCAAGAAGCTCCAGCCCTCAGGTTCACGTTCCAGACGACACACTGAGTGGGAGACAGTTGTGCAATTTGTGCCCTCATCTCACAAAAACAGTTGATGACTCCTCACACACAAACACAGAGTCACATCCAGATGCTGCTGGTTGTAGTTTAATGGTCTCGCAATGAAGAAAAAGCTCCTGTGGTTTCACAACATCCACCCAACCTCAAATCCTGTTCAGTCTACAAACAATGTAGCTTAGCACAAACGGCTATGGACTTAAGTTCATAGACTGCTGCTAAAAAGACTTCTGCAAGCAAAACATCTTTTTTTTTATAACCATAAAATATTTTAGTCAATATTATTTTAAAAAAAGTCAGCCACTGATGTTTAGCTCTCCTGTCAACAACCATGATCCCCGTAACAACAGAAGTCATGTTCAGACACGAAACATTATCTATCAAACACCAACATAACAGCCTTGTATTAAAATTATACCCATGCTTTTATGTTGAATCCAGACACCTAATATGCTTTACTTAAACATTTCTAGATTGACACACAAGTGTAAGCGGGTGAAGATTCTCAGTCATAAAAGAAAAATACTTTGTTTCCAATTTCAAAGACGTTTCGCTTCCCATTCAGGAAGCTTTTTTAATCCAAAATGTCAGAAATGGCGTCGAGTTCCAGGCTTTATAGAGTGGACCAAGAAACTCTGGACGAACGGGTCCGCCCCATTGGATGGGGGAGTGTTTGGGTTCTTTGTAACTCCGAAATCACTCTGACCTCCTGCGCAAAGCAAAGCCTACAGGCTCCGCTTTTCCTCCCATCTTCCTCCACTCCAGATTCCTCCAAGCTCGCGGAGAGAATGCGCTATATTATTATTAAATTCATAGGAGCAAAACATGTGGAAATGAACGCTTAAAAAAAAATCCCCGTCATCATTCAGCTTATGTGCAGTTTCTGCCCAAATATTTTATTTTTGTTGTAGATTTTTGTACCAAGGATAACAAGGATCATACAAAATGTTCCAAACTCAGCATCTCTTCATCCATGCCAGCCATAAAAGTTTCTTTTGACTCAATTTGATTAAACTTTTAAATCTCTCAGTATAAAATAAATATTTTGATCGGGATGAGAAATCTGTTTCCTGCTATGCTAAAGAACCGACAGTTTGCATCCAATCATTTAATTCAACTGCCTTAGTTTTTTGGAATATATAAGAATTATGCTCCAATTTGTAGTTGCCAATCTATCGTTTTTTATTTTAATTTGTAAAACCGGATCTCCTTAACGTTTTTTCTGTTTGGCGGGAGTATTTGGAATCTGGGGTTTATCCTGCAATACCCCATGTTGGTCTATATCCCACGTGGGACGCACGAGTGACAAATTTAGGATGGAGGAAAACATGTTTTTAGCTAGCATCCTGTTAAAAAAAAAAAAAAGCAAAACAAAAAAAAAACCTAATTTTTAATTTTCGATTCATAGAAGATTGATTCATGTATACTTAAAGACCATAATGGTCCATTAATGACAATTACTTTAATAATTTTCCGATGAATGTTAAGATAATTCTGATAAATATGTTGAATGCATCTGATTTAGATAACTGCTTAAAAAACAAAAAACAATCCCAGTTAAAATCGGACTGGGAAGAATCCTTTCTAAATTTTGAGATTTGGAACGAAAAGGCATTAAAATACTTTAAATGCATTTCCTTCTAACATTGACCTGATAGTTCCTTTTCTAGCCGTCTTCCAATCAGGGCTTAAATTCGGCTTAATGAGTCGACCCAACACACACATTTCAGAGCATGGATGCATGGAAACGGAGGAGGGCAGCCGTTCCAGGCCGACCTTCCAACATGAACCTGATCCTAAGGCTGAATATAACCAATGAATAGAAAAAAAAGCTCCAGCTTAAGTTACAGATTTATAGAGAAACTACTAACTTAATCTGTTTAACAAAGGGCCTCTTTACATTTGAAGAGGTTTTTCTTTCCACAACAAACTCCCTAAACGCAAACAAGGGAAAGAAAAACCTGCAGACCAGTTTATCCAGCATCCATACAGGAAACCTGATCATCTGCTGGTTTCATTCGTTTCTGGGCGTTTCTTCTCTTTACAGTCATCTTTGACTCATCAAAACCCTGCATGCCAACAGTGGTGCCCTAACAACAGACTGGGATGGTCCCACATCCAGTTAAACACTAACGTACCAAAGACTACATCAGTGTTTAAAGCTCATGGAAACCTAAACTATAAATAAATGATAGTCCTCTTCTCCCAACACTGTAAAAATATCAGACGACTTGCTTTCCCTGCAAAGTGAGGCCAGTATTAAAGAGCAGGCGACTCCACTTGGTTGGTCCATAACTCCATTAGTAATCTAAACATTTACAACTTGTTACACATGATTGGAAACAATTGTTTACCAGTTATGCTACTATAATCAGCTACATCATCATCATACATAGAAGCATTTGGAAAACAAGGTGAAAGTCACAGGTTGAAACGGCAGCAGAATGGGCCAATAACTCAGTAAATGTCCTCCCCAGATTGTTTAACGGATGCAAGAGGAGATGCAGATCCAACAGGTTAATTCAGTCAGATGACCAAGACCCCAATGTTACATAGAAAGCCTCCCCCCAAACAAAACAATGAAATAAAGAAGAAAAAGAGTCTAGCCCTGTATATATATATAAAAAAAAAACTACTTATTCTGTAATCAGCATCACTCGTAACTCTTTAGGCGTCATTGTGGCCAAACATGAGGCTGCTGAAGTGATTTAATAAACAAAATTAGCCAACTCTTAACCATGTTTCACAATCTTTCTGCTGAGCAGAAATTCATTAACACCTTTAATAAACTTAAGACTGTAATCTAATCCAAACACACTTTATAAAAGCTCCCAGCTTCTCTGTTTTGAGTTTGATTATTTGGGCGTTCCTCCTGCAAACATTACAAATAAAACAGTGTGTTGATGAATGTTAAGCAATTTCTTTAGAGCCAATTTTCCTGTTTATCTTAGAGATCACTGTTCTACAGGTACACTGGGAAAAAAAAAATCTAGATAAGTCATTTTTTCTTAAAATAAGTGAATTTGTTCTTGGATTGAGGTGGTAAAAGAGACATTTTGCCAACGGAACAAGACAATTTACACTTAAAATAAGAAAACACAATTGCATTGTCTTATTTCAAGTGCATATTATCTAGTTATCTTATTTTAAGAATAAAAATAGGGATGCACGATACTGATATTTTGCCCGATATCCGATATTTTATAACTCATGTAGCCGATATCGATGTTAAAGCTGGACAAAAATAAGTAGTCATTGAAAATAGCAGTTTTGTTATCCATTTCTGACACTTTGAAAAATAATATACTCAAATATATTTTCATATGCTGATATCAAATAGATTTTTAAAAACGCGGTATCAATCTATTACTTTCGAAATCTCGTGAAATTTCATCGTTCTGTTACAAACTCTCGTGATATTTTGCAAATTCTTGTGAGATTTTGTTAGTAAAATAGATCGATACCGCCTCAATATATCAACATATAAAAATATGGCAAAATTTCGTGAATTTTCGGGGGATTTCGTAGCATAACGATGACATATAGCAATATTTCATTAGTAAAAGAGATTGATATGGTGTTTTTAAATGGCAATATATCAGCATATGAAGATATTGGGATATTTTAATGTACCAATATTTTTTCCCTCATCTTTAGAAGTTTTTAAGTCTGTAAAAAAGAAGTTTTTGAGGAAGAAGAAGTATTTACTTTTTTTTTTTTTCCCCGATAGGGGACCGATTATATCGTGCATCCCTAAATAAAAATACTAATTCCCTTGGCAAACCATCTTATTTACCTAATCAAATTAAGGGTAAATACACTTAATTTTGAAATGTTTTATTTTTTTTTAGATCGTTTTTCCAGTGTATGTAGCATCCTGCTTGGAAACATTTGATTCTGGAATGCATTTTATTTTAAAACAAACTATTTTCATCTCTTTAAACCATGGGGTTCCACAGGCTTTTGTTCTCGACTTCAATTTGTTTTTTTGCTTGTTCTTTATAACATTGAATTAAATCTCATATCTAAGCCGAATACGTTTTAAATACATTTGACCTCCAGTCATCTTTGCCTGCTTTTCTAAAACCGGGAATACACTGTGTGATTTTTTTTGCCCTTTTCAGGCCAATGCTGGGGCTGACTTTCAGACCGATCGTGAGTCCTTGCTTCATGCAGTGTACAGATGGTAACGCAGGCAATCAGCCTCTCACAACCACCTCCCAATCAGGAATTATAAGGTCCACCGTCATGAAGTGTTCGTAGACAAATCCTGCTGTTGAAGCAGAGCTACGAGCCGATTTACCAAAACCTCTAGTACTACGCATGAGCAAACAAGAAAGTTCTTCTTCCAGATTAATGTGTCGGACCAGCACCATCTCTCACTGCCAAGTCTTATGTGGTTTTTAGATGTGCAGTGTGAGCAGGTAAAACTCATCAAAGCATCTGGTTGCAAAGTGTGAGAACATATCGCGAGCTGTGAACTTTTAAACGCTGTGGTTTCATCGTACAGTTTGAGCTGTAACCGAGTACAACGATTGAAAACATCACAGTGTATGCCCGGCTTAAGGCATTTGGAACATTTCAATCTCATTCGGTGAAAATCTTTCATACCTAAATGATGAAATACATTTAAAAAACAACTAAATGTTTTTATCCGTAGCCCAGGCAACTCAACCCCCTTAGATTTTACTGACCACTGGGTCTTAAAACATTTCACCCACTAACTTTTGAACCATACCAGAGGAATGTTGGAATGTTGGCTCCCTTTGCTTTTTTATTTAAGGAACTTTGGGAAACTGAGCTTCAGCTGGAAATCTCATCCAGTATTGGCAACAGTTATTCCTTTTTACTCGTTTCAGTGAAATCATCTCCAGCTGGTCCAAAGCGCAGCTGCTAAAGCTTTTACCCCGTCCTCCAGGCACTCCTAAGTTGCACCTTTGTTGATCTTGCTTCATTGCATTCCTGTTGCATAAATACCAGACAAAAGTTCTGCCATCTTAAAATGGCAGAACCTTTTAAACTGAGACCAACTGATGGGGAACTGCTGTTTATTTCCAACTAGAGCTAAAAATGTCAGAAACTTTAGTGTTCTGAACCCATTCAACCCTCGGCCTGTTCTGAACACATTTTATATTCAGGTTCTGTTACTTTTCTATCTGTTCCCATTTGACGGCTTTTAAATCTTAAAACTGAGTCTGATGCTGAAGTGAGTTCAAGTTTTGCTTAAAACCTTTTTTATAGAAAAGATAGTGGTGCAGGTTTGTTTCCAACAATATTCATTTTTTTGCAACATGTCTTTCTCCTCCCACACAGCTTAAAGGAATAGTACACCCAAAACATGATTAGCCTTCATTTTCTACTCACCCCCATGCTGAACAAC